TGGGGGTGTCGAATGCCTTTGAGGATCTCAATCTCTGTCAGGAGGTTTTCCACAGAAGCCTTGTTCAAACTTTTCTTGGCCACACACTTGATGGCAACCACCTCACGGGTATCCTTCTGGAAGGGCAGAGATTTAGGGGTTCTGCTTTGAGGGGACCAGAGATATGCCTGACTGGAAGGCCCTGTTTCCCTCTGCCCGCCCCCTTTCCGCTCCCTCTCACTGGGTCCACTGACTCTATACCAGCATCCCAGTTTCCCTATCTCAGTCTAATGAGGCACCTGAAGTCTGGATTCCAAATTCCAGTCTCCCAACCCTACCTAAGCGTAGTGGTTACGACTCAGGCTGCCAACCACAAGGTCAGCAGTTCGAAACTACCTGCGGTTCCGCGGGAGAAAGATGAGGCGTTCTGCTCCCGTAAAGATTTACAGCCAGGGAAACCCTGTGCAGGGTCACTATGAGTCGGAAACCACTCCACGGTTCTTAACAACAACAACCCAAACTGGTGTGGCACTGTGGGCTAATGCATCAGACTGCAAAGTCGTTTGAACTGCCAGGCTGGCAGTTCAAGATCACCAGCTGCTCCTTGGAAACCCTATACAGGGTTGCTATGGGTCGGAACCAACTCGACGGCATTTAACAACAACCCAACCTGGTGTGGTTCTGTGGGTTAATGCGCCAGATTGCAAAGTCGTTTGAACTGCACAATCAGCAGTTCAAGCTCACCAGCTGCTCCTCAGAAACCCTATAGAGGGTCGTTATGGGTCGGAACTGACTCGAGGCACTTAAAAACAACAGGGGTGTGCACATGTGTTTGTTTTTAAGGCCTGAGGTTGGCAGTCAGTTTCAATCTTCTCCATAGAGGGTCAGCCTTCTATGGAGGGGTTAGCGTCTCCCCACTTCCCACCCGGCACCCAGCTGGGCTGATTCAGAATTTGGCTGGAGCCACTCAGTAAGTACTCCTGTTGTTAGGTGCCTCCGAGACTTGTTGTTGTTAATGCTGTCGGGTCGGTTCCAACTCATAACGACCCTGTATAGGGTTTCAGAGCAGCGACTGGTAAACTTGAACCGCCGACCTTAATTTCCAGCGCATTAACACGCAGTGCCTATCTCCTGACGCTCCCTAATTCCGACCTAGCACAGGGAGCTAGCCCCTAGCACTGGCACCCCCGGGGGATCTGTGCCCCCCACACTCACCTTGGCGTAGGCCTTGTACACCGTGGCGTACGTGCCACTGCCCAGCCGCTCCGTGAGGATGAAACCGTCCAGACGCGGGGGGCCCCAGCCGGGCCCTGC